CAATGCGAATTCGCCATTGGACTAGTAGTGCTCTCGCGACAATTCAGCCGCGCCGCTGTGGTCCGTAGCGTTTGAGCGTGTGCCCAGTACGGTCCGTGCGGTCAACGAATCGGCGAGTGGTCGAGTTCAAGCTGAAACTTTCGTCTACAATTTCAACGGTAGCTTTCGTACTGGCGAGAGGGCATGGGCCAGACTTCGTGATGTACGCTATAACGCAGACGCCAGATGTGGCGTATGTAGTGTAGCCGCACCTAGCGCAACCGTGATGATGAACTTCTTGGCAACTAATGTAATGAAAAGTTTCAAATACGACAGCACCTCTTTTCCCCTTCCTTCCTCTATCCTCTTGAACCCCCCCCCCCCCAGTTATACTGGTTGCCGGAAAGAGATAATCGTTCCGGAAGGGGGGGGGGGGAGGGGTAGGGGTGGTGTAATTTAACTACCCGCCTCCGCCTGCGCGTACCCTCCCGCCCCTCGTCTAGTTTTGGAATTACTCTATATGCATAGTGTACCCAGTGCCTATGCTCTTATCTACTTTTGAACGTGTTCACTGTCCATGCTTGTCAAAAAAAAGACTTCAAAAAGCATTTTTGTGTTCTCGTGTTTCTTTTAATTTTATGTTCGGAGACAAGTCCATAAAAAGGTCGGTAATCGAAAATCAAAGTTATGGATCTACTGAATGAATCTACTGAATAATGGATGTATTCGACGGCCCCGGGTAATATGACAGATGATTGTTTATTACCCCGTAGCATTCACACGTCACGATCTGTGAGCATTTAACCGCGAATAAAAATCAGGTTTCCTGCTGAGCGCTACACTCATCTATTAATCCCTTGGAGGAAATGGAAAGCCTTTGGGAATATTTAACCTCTAAATCTGTATACGCTGAGGAACAAGGACGGAGAGAAAAGGGTACAAACATGGTTGGGAAGAATTTGACATACAGTGTTTTCAACGGAATCAAACCCAGATACGGCATAAGTCGATTAATTATATTTTATAGAACAACCAAAGCGCAATGTGATTGTTATGTGCTCCCAAAACTAGTCAAGGAGAGATTACACTTTGAGTGAAAAGGTTGAAACATTCATCATATGATATTGGGTGGGACTGCCACTTATGTTTATTCATTTTTTTAGAAACTAAAAACAGAGTCCGGTACATTTTATGAAGGTCGATGTCAAGAAAGATTTTGATAACATTTACAGAGCAAACTTCGGCAGTTTTTTGAGTGGAAAAAGGTTAGTGCCTGCATTGTAAAACTGTGCTTGAAAATTTTGGAAATTCGAAGTATGTGTAATGTAACAGCGCAAGTGGAGCAAAAAAAACGCCTAGCATCAAAAGCCACATATGAGAACAGTCGCAGGACATGTCATCGACTTTCTAAAAAAAAAAACGATACTGAACCAACAATGCAATATCATGGCTAGTGCTCATTCACTCAAAATAGTACTGTGCAAGGAAACTACAAGATGTAATGTAGCAACAAGCCACTAAAAGAAAAAACTACTGTAAAGCTAGAGCATATCAAACTTTCCATCGCTAACTGATATCGATTGCGGTATGCTCGCACACTGTTGAGTCACTGTTCAAGCAATTGTTCTTCAAACACACGTTTAGTTCGTGTCTGGAGCTCACACGTTACCACTAAAACTTTTTCAAGGATGTAGTGTTCCGATGTTCAATGGTGTGGGCTCGAAGTTAAAGAGTACACGGGCACACCATGTACTATGAAGAATTCTCTTTTCACCAAATAAAAACAAGACTTTGGATATTTAAAATCTTTCTATTTTTATGTTTCTCCTATGTTTCCGGCACATAGATTACTTTCCCAATTGAATTTTTACTAATTGACTTGGCACATCTTTGAGCGTACTGCAATGGACGAATAAATAAATAAATAAACGGAGGAAAAAAGAATTCATTTCGGAATGAATCTGACAATGAAAGCGAGTTAGAGCATTTCATGCTTTTGTACACTTTGATATGGATGACACTTTGATAAGCCGCCAACTTGATTTGTGAGAATGTTTGTCCCTAAGATTACGATAAAAAGCGTAGCGTCTATCTATTTCGAAATTCTATTTGGTTTTGAAAGGGTACTGTGATAAAAAGGAATTTTCATTTTTATGTAGATTGTGCATGTTTCTATAAAAAGTATACGAACCAGCTAACGGACCTTGTTTTGGTTGATAAGTTACCAAGTTTGTGTACAGGTCGTTCTCTATCACCGGTCGATACAACTTAGACCAACTTTGTGCTGTAAAAATCCAGCGAAATTCAGCAGACAGTAATATTAATAGTATACAGACAAAAAGAAAACTTACTTTTTCCTGATTAATCAAGACGAAGTTGGCATAGAAAATGCTTGTCGCTTAGAGCTATTTCGTTTGAAATATCTATGGATTTTGCCATAACATTAGGCTTTCCAGTACCAGTCTTGTGTTAGGCACTTACTATACGTAACTACAGGTGTAGAAAGTCACATTTGATACACAAATGGGAAAAGTTAACAATATATTAGGTCGTTCCGAAAGTAATGTCGCTTTTTTTAAACGTACGCCACATTTCGTGGAATAAAGATGTGTAAGAGATTCTGGTAGCATTTGATGCAGCATTTCTTTCTCTCTCTAATGGCTATATAACTACCGCACAAAATTGAATAACCTCTGGGAAAATTATCGGAATCTGCGACCCATGCTTTTTGAGAAGGTCAAGTTGCACAATTTTTCCAAATTTTTATAACAACCCCCGAAAAGAGTCCAAGTTATGTATGGATAGAGCAAACCCTACGGGAAACAGCACAATTTTTTTCTACTTTTCAGAGCTCGTCATAATTTCTGTATAGATTTTTTGATGAAACCACCGAATTTTAGCAGGTTCGTCTCAGACACAAGTGCATCAAACACCAAGAAATCGTCGGATTTTGAAACATACAAAAATGGCTTATGGTTTTGCACTAATTTTACAAAGCAAATGAGCGTTTACCGCTTCAGATTAGCAACTTTCGAAAATTCCGGGTACAGCCGGAGGTGCCCTGGAAAACCTAAATTATGATGATTTTATCTCGGAAACTTGATGAATCGGAAACCAAAAACAACTGATAAAAAGAGGAGAAAAAGCAGCGTCGAATGACACCCGAGTTGCTTGCCGGTTGTTGTTCTGTGAGGTTTGACTTGACTAAATATGGAATTTGATGGCATTGAGAAATTGATTGTAGAAACTCTGAGAAGCAAGCTAAGAAAAAGAAAAAATTACTCTGTGTCCTCTAGAGTTTGCCCTATTTATCTGCCACTCGTACTTTTTCGGAGAATAGGTACAAAAATTTTAGAAAATTGCCTAACTTGACCATGGCAAAAAGCATGAGTTGCAGATTTTGTTGATTTTTCGAAAGCTCAATGAAAACTGTGCAATGTAATTACAACCATTAGAAAGAGGATGAAATGCTGCATCAAATGCTCCTAAGATATCTTGAAAATCTTGATTCCATGAAATGTGGCGTTCATTTGAAAAAAACGACATTACTTTCGGAACGACCTAATACATGACATGTGGAGAAATTAAATAGTTGTTGTTGTATTGTTGAGTTTTGTAACTATGGTCTACACAAAGCGTCATGATAATTGCTGTCAAACTTTTATTCAAGCTGGATTGATCAGTTTTTTATTCCCATAACATATGCGATTTGTACAGCATAGCTGTTTGCTCGACTATTGAACATCTATCCGAGAAAATTTTCCGAAAAGCAAAGTAGACAATTTGACTGGTGTAAACAATGGTTCGCTGAGAAAATCGCGAGATATCGGGTAGAGACTCGATCTTGATGATTTCCCCCACAGAACTTGCCATTCTGCTTTCAAGCTCACGAATCGATAGCGCGACGTCAAAATTTCACTGAAAACAAAAAATAGTTGTTTGACAGCTGCATCATACGTCAGCACAACGAGAGGACATTGCACTGATCGGAGCTGTTAGGACTAAATAGTTGCAGAGTATTCGAAGTTTTACATCTAGCAATTAATCAGTTTCTCATTCCGAGAAGGGTCAGTGATCAGTCACTAAAAACGAGTATTGCCCTTTTTTTGCGTGGAACAGTTTTTTTTAGCAATGATAACGTGAACCGTCATAGTCGGGTAAGCGCTAACATTGTGGTCTAGGATCAGCCTTAGATCTGGAAGTTTAAGGTAAAAACCAAGATTTAGCGATTAAAAGACTCCAAAGCGGTTGTTAGATGGCCAGCTTGCAACAACCACTTTTATTGAAAAATCATACCCTGAAAAGAAGCATGAGAAGACGTCTGAGTTGAAGAGCAGGGCCTTACATGAGGGAAATACCGTTGTCCTCATCTTACCCGAAGCTTTGCTACAACTTTTAGCACTGACACGCTTGTGGTTCAAAGGTAGCGTGTAGTCAAGTCTAAAAATTTCTATCTATGTCTTGAAGAGTCTGAACCTAAGTCTGAACGACTCGACTTTAAAGAACATCTCAGGCACTGGTTAGATGAGTTTTTTGGGAACACGCGGCGCTGCCCGTTGAAAAAAACTGAAATAATCTTTCATTTCATTTATTTCATTTATAGGGTTAATCTATGCCAAACAACAACATAGACTAGAATAATTAAAAACAAGAAAACGCATACAAACACGAAATCTGGTGAGAATCAAATTTAAAATAAAAAATCAAAATTTTTTGAATCTTTAATAATATTCTTTGGGAATAATCTATAATCACCTCCACTAATTGAATGTTGGGTTACCTTTCCAATAATCGCATCCTTAGATCAAACTGCCTTACTGCTTTCTGCCGTAATGACGGTCAGTGGTGATGGATTAGATGTGCGATTAGACATCGTCAGTAACCAGCTCAAACTTAGATCTTTTCGAAGATATACAGCTTAATGGCTAAGTCGGGCTTATATAAGCGTGGATCTGGACAATCATCACAGTATAATAACAATGCTTTGACTAGTTACCTCAACCAAATATATTTCCTTTCAGATGGGAAACCCATCCACTTCTGGACTGACAGCATCTGTCAACTTCGCCACGCTCCTAGCTGGATGCGCTTTTCTTGGCCTGGTTCGATACTGCCTTGACATTTGGATTATCCTTCTATTTATGTACCCTTTAGGTAGTATCTATGCCTATACTCTTCACTGTCATGAATAACATAGAGGAGGAGTTGCTAGCAGCCCGACTTGTCTATAATGAGATGTCTGACACCATGTGGAAGGACCTCATTTACGAAGAAAAAATGGCTCGCAGAACGCCGCGACAGACTTGTAAGTGCTTGCGTTTCGTCCACTATGACAATCTAACTTCATATCAACTTTCAGACCGCGAAGGAGTTGAAGGAAGCAAAGAGGTAGCTGGAGGTGGAGGAGGAAATGAAGGCAGCAATGGCAAAGGAGAAGTTGGAAATGGAGGAGGAAACGAAGGCAGCGTTGCCAATGGAGGAGTTGGAACTGGAGGAGTTGGAACTGGAGGAGTTGGAACTGGAGGAGTGCATGAAGGCAGCATTGGCAAAGGAGGAGTTGGAACTGGAGGAGGAAATGACGGAGTGGATGTGCCCAGCGCTCACAGGAGCAACGGAAACGGTCCACGCATCGTAGGCGCTGGAAGCAGCGTAAACAACTGTCCACCTGGGCCAAAGGGTCCTCCAGGAGAGAAGGGATTACCTGGTAATTGGCCCATTCATAGATGGTAAAAGAGCTTTCGTGTTTGAGGAAGTGATGGTGTACCTGGCGCACCTGGAAAGAAAGGAGCAACATCGCTGGCCGATTACGCGGGACCAGGAGGTGCTTGCACACCCTGCCCTGCTGGCCCACGAGGACTACCAGGCTACAAGGGAAAACGCGGCATGCGAGGACCTAAGGCAATTTTCTTTTACTGCGTTGAGTAGCTGTCGAATCTGCATGATCTTTCCAGGGAGAGAAAGGTGCTCCTGGAAGTCCCGGTCAAGATGGACCTGTAGGTGAAGAAGGACCAGAGGGTCTACCGGGCCATCCCGGACCAGCTGGAGAGATAGGAGCAAGAGGTTCTAGCATAGACTGTTTGCTGATCACTTCATTTGGCGGCAGCTAGATGACCTCTTCCTGTTTAGGTGTTCCTGGTGAAGATGCAGTAAGTTTCGGAAAAGGAGCTCCTGGTCCCAAGGGTGAAAGCGGACCTCCAGGAATGGCGGGAGATGAAGGACTTCCCGGGGAAAGAGGAGATGATGCTCAGCCAGGACCACAAGGGCCACCTGGACCAGAAGTAAGTTACGCTCATGCTGCTTCGCTGCTATATGCAAACGTTTAGGGAGCACCCGGAGATATTGGACACGATGGCTTCCCTGGTCTTGCTGGTGGACTTGGACTGGACGGTGCAGACGCAGAATATTGTCCTTGCCCAGAGCGAAAAAGTGGAGCATCTGGCAATGGTTCAGCAGCTGCAAAAACCACAACGACAGTCAAAACCGAAGTGACTACTACAACTTCTGCCGAAGAAGGCACTCAATCCACTTCATCAACCTCCGAAAGTGCTAAAGCAGCTGCCGAGAGTACTGAAGGAGGAGAAAACTCTGGCAGTACTAGTTCATCAACTTCTGCTAGCTCCACAGCTACCGCAGGAGGGGAAGAATCCAGTTCATCAGCCTCCGATAAAGCAGCTGACGAGAGTACCACAGGCGGAGACAATGTTAGCAGTACTAGTTCGTCAACTTCTGCTAGCTCCAAAGATGCCGCAGGAGGGGAAGGAGGCGAACATGCTACTAGTCTGACAACTGATGCAAGCGCTAATGTGGGTGGCGGAGGAGAAAAAGAAGGCACTAATGCTGCTAGTACGACTACTACACCAGAAACCGGTCATGGTTCAAGCACGTCATTCTCTGTGGGAATTGAAGGTCAGGATACCAGCGTTTCGCCTTCTGCAAGAGCCTCTGAGGCCCCTGAAGGTGCCGGGGGAGGAGCCGCTGAAGCTAAGGAGTCTGAACATCATGACGAAGCGTCTGGTGCAAGTAATGCCAAAGACCTTGAAGGTGCCGGAGGAGGAGCCGCTGAAGTTAAGGAGTCTGAACATCATGACGAAGCGTCTGGTGCAAGTAAAGCCAAAGCCGACAAAAAAGAAAGCAAGAGCTCAGAAAGCTCGGAGGAGAAGAAGTCGCATGCTAAAGCTGGCAAACAGAACGAAGAGCGATCTGTAAGTTTCGTGAGTGTGGTAGAAACCCTAGACAAGGCACATTAATTCCAGACTGAAGATCTCATCAGAGTAAAGGAAGTAGATAGTCTGGCGACTCCGAACGTCGTTGGAGGAGGGGCTGTGCCCGAAGGAAAAGTGATTAAAAAGGTGAGAACTTGGTATAAATTGCTATTGCTGCTCTCACCAACAATGCTTTTTAGGCTGCTGAGCTCGATAAAAAGGCCTTTGCCCGTACTCTTCGCAGGAGAGTTTTGCTGAAGGCAGCTTGATTCGGCAGATTTGAGACGTAATGTGCACTTGCAAAGTAAATAATCTAAGTGTCACAGTATTAGTCAATAAATCTTTAAGCCATATATTGTTCGGGCAAATCGGTCGTTACAAACTAAACTGAGGAAGATGCACTTGCGGATCTAATTATCAATCTTAATTGATATTCTGCCACAAAACACCAGTTTTATTCATTATACACATTTTGCACAGTACGAGAGGATCATCCTAAAGACTAAGTTCTGAGGTGTAACCAGTATAGAATTTCAAGAGCGAAATTCCAGACTATCTATTCCTGTTAGATTTTTCGGAATATATCTTGTGCAAAAAAACATGAGCTTCGACTGTCTTGAAACAGCGATGTTCCCAACTCTTTAACATGACCACACTAAATGTATGGGCTATGGCATGAATTGATAATGTATGTTGCCACACAATGGCGATAAAACTTTTCTCCAATCGAGCATATTTTTCGGTATACGAACTTATACGAACTGAACCAGCCTTCCCATTTGCAGACAAGACTACATTAATCCCATAAAGTGTCACCTAAACAATTCTACACGTGTGAAAACGCTCGAAAAAAAATCAACAACATATGCTTATTCAAGCACATTCGAACAAATTCGAACGAATTGTACAGCTCGGAAGCAATCCATCTGTCTGATGGCTTTAATTGCCACACTATTGTGTGTTCAATTACTCTTATAAACATATGTCTTGTGCATCATTTGAACTTCTGAGTTGAACCATTTGGACACGTTTTTTTTTCAGCATGCATGTCTGGTTTGCCGGGAAGATTTATTTTCATGAAACGATTTCTGCCCTATATTGATTCTTATACTACGAGCTGAGAACATTTGTCCGTCTGTTCCTCATTTTATCATCGGACGTTCAAGCATGACCATTGTCGTTTTCTTCTGCTAGGCATACTTTATCAACTCTTTGCCAGGGCCAAGGAGAAATACCTGGTCATAACCGGTCACACACAAAATATCTCTGAACTTTTCGTGTAATGCAGAGGTCTTTCTGCCAGATTTTGGCACAATTTTGTCATCATGAGGATCAACAGCGATTGCCACACAGGCTTTTCCATATTGCAAAGAAGTTCTTTTTCCCCTCCTCTGTTTCCCTATCTGCTCTACCTGATTGTTTGATATAAAAGATGATGGTGTTATGACTCACTCTATAGGCGATAATAGGTGCTGCCGTTCTGAGCAAGTGCAACAATGTTTTCATAAAATCTAGTTTATGAGCTTTTTTATGAGCCAACAAGAATTTGCTCCTCCCTTCACCCTCACCTTCTTGCCCTCCTGTCTCTGAAATATGGATCTAATTTAGCTGAAAACCGACTACACAATTTACACAGATTTCATTAACGCAGGAGCAAATGTGCTTCAAATAGTAATCCGTCGTATGAGGGTTATTTTTGGTCATCTGGACCCATTCACTCAATGAGGTCATCTGAATTGTGTACTAGATTTGTAAATGAATTTTCCTTTAATTTTGCGAGAGAGTCTAGGGAATAAAATATCAACATACTAGCTGGCTTACCCGGCTCCGCCCGGCCCGGTCAAAACACTATGATAAAGGTCCCATCGCTATCACCGTACAACCTTTCCCTGGGTCCACTTCTACATGCCTATTCCCTATTCCGCTGTATTAGTAACCACTCAGACAATCGCCGGGGGCAGGCGGGCACCGGAAAAATAGATTGCTGATCTCTCGCACCCCGCTCGCGGATTTTTCGGAAGGCAATCAGGACTTTTCGGAAGACCGCTTGCTGAGTTCTCGATTCCTCAGAGATTCAGCAATATATCTGCAAAAGATAAGAGCGAAAAAAATTCAACAGGCGGTCTCTCAAAAATCCGCTGGCTCAGCGAGCGGTCTTCCGAAAAGTCCTGATTGCTTTCCAAAAAATCCGCGAGCGGGGTGCGAGAAATCAGCAATCTATTTTTCCGGTGCCCGCCTGCCCACAGCGATTGTCTGAGCAGCAGCTCGATTACCTCCCCCCCCTCCTGTGGTAGCTCCCAGCCCCACATATCAAACTTCATAAAAAATCGATAGAATCGATATCGATCGACAACGAAAAGTAGCCTATGACCCGAAGTGTATGTGTGCAAAGTTTGGTCCTTATCGGCTCAGAAATAAAATTTTGTATTCGGAACATACGTACACGCAGAAAGACAGACAGCATAATAGGCTCAAGAATTTGTTGGCTAGATGTATTGCATTATTCTTCTTTTGAAACGTCTCAATGGGGTCCATAATGGCACAAAATTTTTTCTTTATTTGAAAGTCATTCTTCAGCAGTAGACCGCACTTCAGCGTCCAAGTCATATATTTGCAAAATTAATTGGAAACGGTTAGTCCAGTGTCTCGGAATGACTTAAGTCTCAGAATTGAATGATAGTGAAGAACAAATTTCAACAAAACATGTCAAACAGGTTGGGGATAGCAGATTTGTAGACAAATGCCATATGTAGTAGTCAATTTAGTAAAGTACTCAATTTTGAATGCTATGATTGCAATATCATATCATGTTGGTGAAGTAGTATTGTGGTGAACCTGAGCGTGGCTGTTGTTTGAGATGATTGTCAAATAGTAATGATTTTAGGTTTCTACTCAGTTTTTTCTTCACTCTTTGGATGATTACGACTAGGGCATTTTAATTTGTAGAGGGCGCACTTCGCGGGCAATACATTTATCTCTTTGTTTAAAGTTCAATCCAGAATTAGCATCGCGGAAGAAGCCAAATCTTCCTTCACGAAAATAGATTATCAAGGTACGATGATCAAAAACGTAGTACATGAGAGAATAATTCAAGGAACCATACAAACCATATTGCGGAACCTGAATAACAAATGCTGGTCCTGTCCTCAAGTGATGCTGACATCCACTTTATTATTCTGCTATGACGTGTGTCATGGTTTGATCAGGCTTGAAAACGGAAAAACTTTGGACTTGTCTTGGTCCCACATACGATTATAGCAGGTTGTTTGCATTCACTTGCTCAAAAATTGACTAGTTAAGAAGCGTCTTTACAAGCTATGATCATCTGTCTTATCCGCCACCCATGGCACCGAAACAGTACCGCGCAGAAGTGTGACAAAAATAAATTTTGGGTACTTTTCCGTTATCCGGACCCATTTTTTCAAAAGGCTCTCATATTATACGTTCTTTAGTCTAAGAATAATGTTTCATAGATTCTACGATGACTGCCTCCTTGCCACGCATCACGAAAAAATTGACACGTTTTGGTCCATTCTGACAAGTTTTTTTTTCGAAATCATTTCCGATGAGATAAACGAGACTTTTTGATTATCTTAAAGCGCTTAACTATTTTACTTAAGTACAAAACGATTATGAACTCATTTTAGAACATCTTGCTTGCTTTCAGCAGTGATTCACAAATGTATTTCTCTTCAAACCCTTTTCGCCATGCGAATTAGCCAGAAAAGACTATAAATGATACTTGAACTACCTTCCTACTGCTTATTTCGCCTCTTAGACCACGGAACCTAGCCCAATTCTCTATCCTGAGCAAATGTTATGTTATTATTATGACAATGTCCACTATGAAACAGTTTGTTCGAAACGAGGTCAAAATTGACTGAAAAACAGATTGAAAGATTGAATTTACATCGCTAGATAGGGTAACACAAACTCGTGGTGAAACCTGCTATACATGTAGATGACATGTCAAATTTTTTTTGACACGTGGCAGAAGGTTGACACTCCTTCCCGTGAAGCTGGGACAAAATATGGTACAAGGAAAGAAGCGATATCTTTTTTTTGAAAAAATGGGTCCGGATAACGGAAACGTACCAAATTTTGTAATAATGACAATGATCAACTTTTTTTCACGCTAGTCATCACCTCTGAGGGCTTCTCACTTCTGCAAAATGCATTTCTGATCGCCAATTAGCATTAAAAACTGCTCGCTGACACAACGGTATGATGCGGCAGCAAATCATCAGCGCGATGCCGAGGCATCTCGATATATGCCACAGTGCTTTTGTTTCATTTTAATCCTGAAAATTTTTCGTAGATCAGCAAGAACCCACTTTAGAAAGTCTGCTTGTGCTGATCTTGTAGGGGGTGTCCTCTATTTCGTTCAAATTCTATCTAGCCCTTGACAGTGCATTGCGTCTTTCATCGTGTGAAGTGCATCTCTTTCCTAACGTTCCCGTGCACTTTCAATAAGGTAATTTGCAATTTTCAAAACAGTCGGTTGAATTCCGCAAATATAGACGGGGCAGCCATTCATGCTTTGCAGAGCCGCCATCGACGTATGGAAGTATGGAACGCATCAGTCAGAATATGATTATCGCTTTATTTTGGCAGACTACGGCCGAACATATGCAGCTGTCTTTGACTACATTATAAACGCTACTAAGTTGTCATTTGTTGAATTCACTTTCCGTATTAGTTCATCAATGCTACTCCTCTTTCTGTCCGTTCTGTAGTTGATACTTCAATACAGCATGTCCATAATACATACAAGGCTCAACGATTTTAAAAGCAAGGAATTCACAGTATGAATTGAACTGCATAACTTCCATCAGTCATTTCCCCAAATCTGACACTATTCCACTTCCCTCACTGCCCTTCCAACTCTTACGCTAATTCTTTGCATTTGTTGCTCATATATCACAACTCTTCAATGGTCGGAAGGAAGTTCGATGAGTCTCGATATCAGATTACATTTGAACATGGTACTGAAAGCAACATATCCTTCAGAATTTAAATTTACAAGCCTTTCGCGACCGAGCTATTCAAAACTGGCACTTTATGTTTAGTTGCCCACTTTCCAGTAACTTCGATACAATAAAATCAGCGTAACTTCAATATCGTTCTTGCTTTTTCATGCTCATCTGTTCTTTAGCAATTTCCCCTAAACACCAAGACAAAATCATCGACTTCTCCAAGAGTTTGTTATCCTTCTTCACTTAGTCTATTCTAATCAATGACAATCTCTTCAGTTACTTACTACTAAGCT